CTAATTCCTATAAAAAGATGCCACATTTCTCTGAACTTTCTGGATCCTGAATGGAGAACCTTTGGGTCACCAGATATGTTGACCTGTAAGTCCCATCAGCACCAGCCAGCATGTCCAATAGGAGAAGGAAGGGAAAGGAAGAAGAATGGAATACAAATGTGATATTAAGAAGTCATCCAGAACTAATTAAAGTACATATTAAAGTTTACTTGTTTGTGTCATGCATAGGAACAGAGAGGAAGAATAAAAACATAGCTTATGCTATTCTATACTCGAAACAAATAATGCAATTATTCCTTTATCTGTGAAAGTAATCAGATTACTTTATGGTGTGTTGCTTATGCAGGTGTGTGACTGCATAGCTTTTGTGTACATTAGAGAAAACAAGAGATAGAGTAAGCCATGTGTGATGAATGGTTATTGAGATTTGTGACTAAAATAAGCAAATTTCCATAGTCACTATGTAACAATTTTGTGGAAGGCATTTTTACTGCCTCAAAGTTTAATGACATAAATTTGTGTTTAGGAATGCAATCCGGTTAGGGGTGAACGATTTAGCACCTCTGAATCTGAACTTATAATAAATAATATCAATAAAGATGATATGGGAAAATACCAGTGCAGAGGATCCTACACTTATCTGAGGCACAAATACAACTTCTCAAGGAGTATTCGGGTATCTGATTTAAGTAAGTGTCATTTTGTACTTTGACAATTACACCTGTTTTCTTTGTAAGAATTATTTGTTGCTTAAATGTATAGCCTACCTTTCACTTTGTAGTTACAGTATGACTAAGATACATGTTGATAACTTCACATAAAAGGACAGTTAAAAGTTAAGCTGATATAGTACAGTACAAGCTGAGTATCTCTTTCCTGAAATGCTTGGAACTAGAAGTATTTTGGATTTTGGGGGATTTTGGAAAACCTGTATTTCCATATATGTCTAAATGTAAACAATTGTAAACACAAAATTAGGTTTCATATACCTTACATAGTTTGAAAATAATTTTATATAAAATATTTTAAATAATTTTGTGCCTGAAACAAAGTTTGTCTACATTGAACTATCTCTCCGGGGAGAGTGGTGGGTTCCCATCTGTCAGCTCCAGCTTCTTGTGCAGAGACATGAGAGCAGCTTTCCACAAGATGGTCAAACACCTGGGCATCCCCTGGATAATGTCCTTGCAGACGGCTAATTCGTTCCCACCAGAAGCTACTTGCAGTTTCTCAAGTCGCTCCTGACACAAAATAAAAAACCACCCACGTGGACAACTTGGGTTTTTGAATTTTGGAATTCTGGATAAGGGATGTTCAGCCTGTACACCAAATCAAGAGCCAAGAATGCCAAACACAATCTATAGAATATGTATTTTAATAGTCATATATTTAACATGCCCATTCTTGTTCAAATCCTTTTAACCTTGACTGTATAATGAAAAGAAATGGGTAAAATGGAGAAGGGGAAAGCAAAATGGCAAAAGAGTGCAGCCAAAAGATAAAAGAAATGGGAGACAGATTTGAAAGAAAAATCATTTAATTATCAAAGAGCTTAGTACTATGTGAATCATACACAAAAGAATGCAAAGGGTTCATTGCAGCTCACCCCAAATTATCATGGTAGGCTGTAGCAGAAATACTTCTCCGCTCTCCTTGGAGGCCTAACTAGTGTCAACATTGTTATTCTCGCACTAAATGAAATCATGGTCATTCACTACAGCTTTTCTATTCTTTCCTCCTTCTTCCCCAAACTTAGCCATTCTTCTGCTCAACAAACTCTGGTTGGATCTACACTGTCATATAAGGGAGTTTGGAACTGCATTATATGATCAGTTAGTACCCCATATAATGAAGTGCAGCACGATATGGGTGTACATTGACCATATAATGCAGTTCCAAATTCCATTATATGGCAATGTAGATCCAGACTCAGCTACCTGACCTGAGCTCCAGAATGTTCTGGCTCCTGCCTCCTTCCTCCTTGCTCTTTTCCCTGCAAAGATAACACAGCCACATTACACATTTCTTCCAGTTACATTCAATTAGCCTTTCACATTCACAGCAGCTAGGCATAGATTCCCTATGAAAATGAAAAACTGAGAGTAAAAAACCTGAATTTTTTAAATCTTAGACAACATTTCTCTGGGAATTTACTAGATCCTCCAGCATGACTCTATGCTCAGCTTCTATGGGTCACTTTTCTTTGGAAGTTGATCATAGAATTGCACTGGAAGAGCTACAAAATAGCTAGAGAATTTTTCTCTCTAGGAATATTAAGATCCTCCGATGTGACTCTTTGGTCAACTTCCAGTGGATGTTCAGATGGCCCTGCTTTGAATTGAGATTGTAATTCTAAGCTTAAAACCATGGTTTTTAGTCTCAGTCTCTCCAATTTGCATAGCAATACAAACCATCGCTAAATGGTTCGGGTCTTTCTTTGTGACTGCATCTCCCTCTATGAACCGGAGCAAGTGCTAAGATCTTTTGGGGAGGCCCTTCTCTCACTTCCACCTCCATTGTAAGCTCAGTTGGTGGGGAAGAGAGAGAGGGCCTTCTTGGTGGTGGCCCCTCATCTCTGGAACTCTCTCCCTATGGAGATTAGATTAGCCTCCACCTTGTCCACCTTTCAGAAAGACCTGAAGACTTGGTTGTTCCAATGTGCTTTCAAATAATGGTTCAACTACTGATGAATTCTGCCTAACCCTCATCTTTAGGTAGGATCTCCAGCACTTTATTCCCAGCCCCCAACCTTACAGTTTTTGTTGCATTACCCCTTGTCCTGCCCTATGAGTCCCAAATCTGCACATGCCCACTTTTCTTGGCCATTGGTTGCTTGCTGTTTGGTTATGATTTATGATGTCTTAGATTTTATTGGTTTAATATATTTGATGGTTATATTTTTTAATTGTGTTATTTTGTAACTTTGTTTATATTGGGCTTTGTTCCCATGTAAGCTGCCCCGAGTTTCTCTGGGGAGATGGAGGTGAGATATAAGAATAAAGTTGTTGTTGTTGTTGTTTGTTATCATCACCATCACCACCACCATCATCATCACTGGAATCCTATATGACCTGTTAGAGTTTGTAATTTTATGAATATCTATCTACATAGCAGAGGTATGTAGGTAGATGATCTTTTATGGAATTGTGAAGATGAGTCATGGGAGTGCCCAAGGCACCTATGTACATTGTGTACTTTGCTAACTCTGGTATGTAACAATATACAAGTAGTTTTCTACTGGATACAGACATTATGCAACTGTGCAATTCTAATTTCTCTTAAGAAAACTTAAGGCCCTGGCAGAATTCTGGCTCTGTTTGCAGAAGTAGTGTTAAGATTTCTAAGATAATATTTGTGATGTCCTTAGGACATTGTAAAATCCTATATAAATTGCAGTATTACTATTATAAATCTGAAATATTCTGAAATTTTGTTATTTCCATTGTCCTACATAATTCTTCGATATACTCACACAAATAAACGATCTTTTAAATGAAAGAAATATCAGTGGCTTATCTCACTTCTAGAAATTCAGAGGAAGAGAACTGAGATTCTGCATCCTAGAAACCATACCATTGAAGCTGAACTTGGTAAGTCTTTAGCTGCTTTTAAAAAAATACTAATAATTGATTAGAGAATCTGTAGAATTGGTACTGTAGAATAAGTAACAAACCCTTCCACTTTGCAAGTATGTTTTAATCTCAGTAAGGAAAAATTAACTGTTTAGTGCTGTTATGTACCTTTCAGTCTGTTCCAATCAATGATGTCCCTAAGGGGATCCTATCACAAGATTTCTTTTCAGCTAAATTGCCCTCTGCTTTCCTCTAAGATTGAGAGTGCAACTTGACCAATGGCACCCAGTGAATTTTCATGATTAATTAGGACTCGTCTCTAGAGTCATAGTCTAATGCTTCAACTACTATATATTTTACTGGCACTAAGAAAATTAAAAATGGTGTACATAAGCCCCACAGTTCAATTCCAAGAGCTGGAAATGGAAGGCAGCTATCATTCCTAGTAGGATTGTCCCATTTGCTTGCCCCCGGTGGTGCAGTGGGTTAACCCTTGTGCCGGTAGGACTGAAGATCGACAGGTCGGAGGTTTGAATCCAGGGAGAGTGCAGATGAGCTCCCTCTGTCAGCTCCAGCTCCCCATGTGGGGACATGAGAGAAGCCTCCCAAAAGCATGATAAAACATCAAAACATCTGGGTGTCCCCTGAGCAACGTCCTTGCAGACGGCCAGTTCTCTTACACCATAAGCAAGTGCCAGTTTCTCTGACATGCAAAAATACATGCTGTGTTTGTTCTGGCTGCTAACCTTGGGAAACATTTCAGAATCACACAAAATAGGCTGTTTTGTTTAAAAACTTAGGAGTGCTGTAGAAGCAAGACAAGAAGAAAGGAAGAAGTGAGGTGGGGTGGGAAGGGGTAAGAAACGGTGACATTTTAACTCAACTAAGGCCCCTTCTACACTTACCTAAAACCTGAGAGGAAGTGAGCTAAAATAACCCTTTTCCTCCTGTATTTCAATCCCCACCCAGTCCAACAACCCCGGGCTTCCCCTTGGGGGATGGCTAGATGCCATCCTGGGTCAACCAAAGGGATGGCATTCAGCCCCCCCCCCCATCCCCGCAAATTTACCTGAGGGAACTGCTGGTACCACTCCTTGTCCCCCTTTCTCATCATTTTTATGCACCAGGAGAGCTCTGGCTTATTTTTAATTTTTAAAGCTTTTCTGGGTGCCCTGCCGACCCAGAAGGGTCGGCAGGGCATCTAGACACCCCCTCAAAAAAGCGAAGGTTTTGGAGGGATGTGTATGGATTTTAACCTGCACCCAATTGAGTTTCTTAAACCTGATTGCCGTTGGATGAAGTCCTGTGTGGAACCGGCCTGTGTTTGCACTGGTCAAAGTGGGATAGTTGCAGGATATGCAACCACAGTTTATTACAGGTTTCTGATGACCATTTTGTGCTACCAATTTTACAGGATCCAAAATACTTATAGAGTGCAATGTCTCACATTCCAAAAACAACCTCTATTCTATTTCCTGGATGGTCAATAATACTCTTGTTGATTTACTTTTTAAAGGAAGAATTGAAGAAGGCTTCCAGTAAGTATATATTTCTTAAATAAGTAAATGAATTGAGCAAACTTTGACTTCTTTTGTTATTGAATACTATAAAATATCATTTTGGCCATTATCACAAGAGGCTTGTAATATGAGCTACAGCCTTCCCAACCATGAATAAAATTACCTACACTTGCATGGTGTTGTTCAAGAGTCATTCCAAATCTGTCTGTAAGTCAACTATAAGTGGTGCTTTAAAAAAAAAAGGGAAAAAAAGGGGGGACGGGGACTCTTGTTTTCAAGCAGAAAGGAGGAAACCATGAAAATGAACAACAATTGGTTTCCAGTATTAAAAAACACCAGAATCAAGACACCAAATAAAGAACACTACTCAGAAACAGGAATTCCAGACAGCTAACAATCAAGTGCCAATTAGCACCTCCCAAACAAAAGATGCTTCCAGACACAACAGCCAGGCTACCTCTACACAAATACCTGCACTGAATGACTTTGCAGCTGCAAGGCTACTCAATGCTAATCAAGTTTTCTAATTGCAACATTGAAGCCCCCAGTGGCGCAATGGGTTAAACCCCTGTGCCGGCAGGACTGAAGACAGACAGGTCGCAGGTTTGAATCCGGGGAGAGGCGGATGAGCCCCCTCTATCAGCTCCAGCTCCTCATTCGGGGACATGAGAGAAGCCTCCCACAAGGATGATAAAAGCATCAAATTATCCAGGCGTCGCCTGGGCAACATCCTTGCAGACGGCCAATTCTCTCACACCAGAAGCGCCTTGCAGTTTCTCAAGTCGCTCCTGACATGACAAAAAAAAATGCAACATTTACACTTGCTTCAAATAGATAAGGGTTCTTTCTCCTACCCTAGGCCTTCCACACACACACACACACACACACACACACACACACACACTCCACTTGCCTCACCTCTAACACACCTGTGAAAATGTTGGCCACAGATGCAGATGAAACATCAGGAGATAATGCTAATGGAATATGGCCATACAGCCCCAAAAACCCACAGCAACCCAGTGTTCACAGTATTTTCAGCTATGTGGGAATTGTAAAAGCACTTCACTTATGAGTTTGGTGGCTGTGACTTGTCATCGTATGCATGTTGTGGACATTTTCTTAGCTGCTTCACATTCTTATCGCAATAGTACTAGTTATTTTATTTTTGTCCTTCAGAATGAAAGAAGCTCTAGGTCCTCTAGCATGACTGGAGGAACTGGACCATAAAGATTCTCCAAGAGAATATTTCAAATTAAATTTGTGACTAATCGAATCTGCAAAAGACAAAACCATAAATATGTGCGGAGAATTGTACTCTTTAGCAGTATTTTGCAGCACGCGGAAGACATTCTAATAGGCATTTGATATGTGGGTTAAATATAATGTTTAAAACATGCTATCTGTTTTCTTTAAATCGCTGCTGTTTGGGAATTTTATTATATTTTATAATTAGCTTCAATTGGTGTGAACTTCCCTAAGTGTTGTTGAAATATGAAAGTTTTTCTTGAAATATAAGCAAAGTTCTGGTCCATAACGGCACACACTAAACATTTCACTAGGGTAACGTTTCTTTGATAGCATATAATATCTCGGGTAGCACAGTTGCATGAAAATGCTCTGTCAATGTTTCCTGCATATTTGCATCAGCCCAAAAAGGGATAGTAACTAATTCTGGGCCACAATTTTGTACTTAGCACACCTTTCCCCTCAAAACAAGAACCTTTAGTGCACATTTTCAACATGTTTTTTTGCTACTTTTTTGGGGACAGAAAAGACAATGATATTGAGGGAGGACAGCTTTCCGTGGTCCCTCTGACCATTAAAAAATTGCAGAATGAAGATTATGGCCAGCTGTTTGTTTGCAGAGCTGGTCAAATTGCTGCATACATCTCAATACATCGTCCAAGTAAGTAATCTAATATCTGTGAATAGAAATGTATGATTGTAAAGGCTACAAACTGGTGAGGAAAAACGAAAACATACCAATATACAAAGAAATTAGAATATGGTATATTTCCAGTACAGTATCTGAAATATTTTACACGGTAGGAGATAGAGTGACCCTCTACAAGTTGATATAGAAACATGTCTTGTTGTATGCATCTTTCTAATATGTAGATAATTTTCAACCGTAGTTTAACCATGTCTGTGTTTCTTAGGAGTATGGAATATTTTAAGAACATTTTCACTTTTTAGTAGCCACACTGCAATTTCCAAACTCAACTTTGGGGGAGAGAATTGAAAAAAAAATCTTCAAATGGATCTAAAAGTCAAATGGATTTAAAAGTTTTTAAAGCTAACTCTGACTACTATCTGGGGAAGCTGTCTGACAAATATGTACATGTACTTTCTGTTTGACAAAGAGCCAGACTTTCACAACCTGTTTTTAAATATGGTGTATTTCAAAGTCATCTTCATGCAGAAGAGGGCAGAGTTTCCTTAAGAGATGAGTTTTGTTTGCTGCATATAAAGATGATGTACCATATATATTCGAGTATAAGCGACCTGAATATAAGCTGAGGCACCTAATTTTACCACAAAAAACTGGGAAAACGTATTGACTCGAGTATAAGCCGAGGGTGAGAAATGCAGCAGCTACTGGTAAATTTCAAAATAAAAATAGATACACACCAATAAAATTACATCTATTGAGACATCAGTAAGTTAAATGTTTTTGAATATTTACATAAAACTGTAATTTAAGATAAGACTGCCTAACTCTGATTAAACCATTATTTTAACCTTCTTCAATGTAAATGTGCTTACGTATCCTTCCAAAAATAATAAAGATAGTAAAATCATAAATGTAATAAAATAATAACAGAGTAAAACAATGGAAATGTAATAATCAGTAATAACAGAGAACTTAATACATGTAATAATAATATTAGAGTAAAATAATAAATGCAATAATAATAATAGAGTAAAATAATGTAAATGTAATAATAATAATCATTATTATTATAAATAGAGAAAATAATAAATGTAACAACAACAACAATAACAACAACACAGAGTAAAATAATAAATAATCTTGACTTGAATGTAAGCCAAGGAGGGCTTTTTCAGCCTAAAAAAGGGCTGAAAAACTAGTCTTATATATACAGTAGATGGAACTTTGTCCTCTGATTCACCGACCTTGAATATGTTAGAAGTACTACATTCATGCCTGCAAAAAGGATTATGAATTAATAAAAGGGAAACAGAATAAAATACCTAGCTTTCTTTCATATGTTCCCATCATGTTCTTGCACATGACACTATCACATAACACAGTTATAGTGCTATTATTCAGTTCTAATTTCAATGGCTCCAGCCTATGGAGTCCTCAGATATACACTTAAGTGAAGTGTACTTACCCACTAAAGTTTCACCAAATTGCAAATCCTAAGATTTCACAGGATACAGCCATGGCAGTTAAAGTAGAATCTTACTGCTGTAGCTATGTAGTCCAAATGGGCCTAGCCTCCTTTTTCTTTATCTAGTCCCAAGACATTTGTATAATACACAATTATAGCACAATGATTCCACTTGAAATGCTAGGACAACATCCTGTGAACCATTGTCATTGTCTCTTTGGGAACTTTAGTCATGGTGATTTCTAGATGCAACAGGTTCATTTATACATATTTGTCTGAGTATGATGTCATTTCTAATGTTGTGTTTTTCTTTTTAATTTTCAAATGCAGCCAGAAATCTTACAGGACTTGCTGCACTGGTATTGTTAATACTTATTCCGGTAATAATCTGCCTGTTATTCAAGACTGAAATTGTACTTTGGTATCGAAAGTTATGCCGCCCCTTTTTTCACAAAAGAGGTAATGCTATACTGTTAACTCCATCATGCTGCAAAAGTGAAATGAATGCCATATATGTGTCCAGGGCAAATAAAAATATGCCACACCTAATAGATGAGTAGTGTTTGCAGACGACAAGATAATTTTCAGGTGCTGAGATGTAAAGCCAGTTGTGGTACAGCAGTACCTGCCCTCCTTTGTTGTTGACTTTTACATATTTATTGTTCATGATTGAATCCTATTCCATTGAAGGTCCTGAAGAAAGCAGAACCATTAAATCAGTGGGATTTACCTTTAAGTTGGGAATGACTGCATTTTTGTACTATATTACAGGAGACGTATGGGAAGGAACCACAAGAAAGCTAGAACTATAATACTCAAGGCTACCTCAAAATAGTTTGCTAACTGAGGAGTTCCATTATAGCAGTGGTTCCCAAACTTTTTGACCCATGGATCCCTTTTCAGAATCAATTTCTATGTGTGTGACAGGTCGGTGCCCTGCTCAGCCTTGTTGAGGCAGTGATCAATTCTTGTATAAGGTGCAGTGCATCCTATGAATTTATATACATTTGACTCACAACTTTTTTGTCGATCCATTTATCTTGGAGGACTTACATATGGAAATATCAGGATAGGAAATTCAGGAGGAGCAAGAAGAAGAGGGAGTATTTACCAGAAGTCTCAATTTTACCATTTTTTCCTCACAATGCTGTTACTGGAATGTAAGACCTCAGGAAGAGAATACTCCTTAACCAAATGGTACATACATTGGAAAGGAGTCAATGTGGTGTAGTGGATAAAGTGTTGGACAAGAACTCTTGCAGACTAGGGTTCAAACACCCACTCAACCATGAAAACCCATTTGGTCACTATGGGCAGGCTACACTCACAAAGCCATAGAGGAAGGCAATGGAAATGCCCCACTGAACTAAAAAAAACCCTAGAGTTGAGTCATCATGATTCAGGGTTGACTTGATGTCCCATAACAACAAATATACATTGGTATTAGATTAAAGGAAATGCATAATAATGGTATTGTTTATTTTTGCAAGTCATCTTTGTGTTTGGTGTTCAGTTTTAGATGGGAAGGTCTATGATGCATATGTTTTGTACCCAAAAACCGATACTCAAGATTGCTTTGCCTTGAAAGTCCTTCCTGAAGTTTTGGAGAAGCAGTGTGGGTACAATCTGTTCATACCTGGCAGGGATGATTTACCAGGAAAAGGTAAAATTTGACGTGTTTTTCTTCCTAAGTGATTTTTAATATAACATATATAATTTCATCTTAATTTTGTCAACAATAAGTGGGAAGATGTTAATTACTTGTAATACTACCTAAACTGTGGTTTTGATGCTGCTTCTTTTCACACAGCCTTCTGGAATTCAAGGCGAGTAAAACAAATAGCTTATATACTAAAAAAACAAATAGCTTATATACATATTAAGAACAAGAAGCCTCATTTTCTATTTTTCAAGTTGTAAGGACTGAAGAGTCAGTTGAGGGAGGGTGGTCTCTGCTTTTCTTTCTTTTTGCTTCTGCTACAAAAAAGGGGGGATATTGTCAAGATGATTTTTGTAACTGTCTTCCAACTCCAAATGGATCAGGAAGTTATATCAAATAAAGGTGTAAAATAATATTGAGATAAACAAATATGACAAGCAAATTCAAAGAAGGAAAAACGAGTATTAAAAGAACAGAATTACAATAAAGGCCATTTAAATGCCAAGTGTAGGGAGTTTTAATGGCCAATGTAATGTATTCTTAAAACCTCTAACTCCATTTATGCAGTTCCTGAGACCCCCCTCTATAGATGCCTCCAAACCAGCTGAATAAAAACAATCCCAGCCAATTTTCGGAGGAATGTTTTGTCCCCAGATGGCTTGCAGCTGCCCAAAACTTCTCACAGCTTCATTTACAAACTTCCAACAAGCTCCAACAAAAGTATAAAAGTAAAGGTAACGGTTACCCCTGACATTAAGTCTAGTCATGTCCAACTCTGTGGTGGTGCTCATCATTTTTAAGCTGAAGAGCAGGCATTGTCTGTAGACACCTCTTAGGTCATGTGGCCAGCATGACTGCATAGAGCACTGTTACCTTCCCGCAGAAGCGGTACCTATTGATGTACTCACATTTGCATGCTTTCAAACTGCTAAGTTGGCAGAAGCTGGCCCTAACAATGGGAGCTCACCTCCCAATTGGAACGGCCAACCTGTCAGTCAACAAGTTCAGCAGTTCAGTGGTCTAACCCGCTGTGCTGCCAAGGCCCCCAAAGGAGTATAAATGACTGAAAATGGGGGAAATGGTGGCCAGAAATAGCACTGTGCCAATGTATCTGTGAAAGGGAGTGTGGAGATGAAAATCTCCCCGTATGCAGTTCTCCATTGAAATAAGTATTTTTGTGATTTTTCCAGTCCCTTGACACAACTTACCACAGTGTTTCATGCTGCCAAAAATAGATTACTTGCAGAAACTTATTTATTATTTTTGAAATGGTTGAAAACTATCTCTCTTTGCAATTTACAGCTTTAGTCAATGTTGTTGATGAAACCATCCGACAAAGTAGAAGGCTGATCATTATTTTGCTGCCTGAGCTGCCTAGCCTGGACAAGGCTGCTGAGCAGCACATAGCTGTGTACCGGGCCCTTGTTCCTGATGGAATTAAAGTCATCTTGATTGAAATGGCTAAAATAAAAGATTACAGTCACATGCCAGAATCCATCAGATACATCAAGCAGAAACAGGGTGCTATCCGATGGAAAGGAGACCTTACAAAGAGAAGCTCTTATTCTGCAAACAACAAGTTCTGGAAAAGGGTCAGGTATCGAATGCCACCTGAACATCAAAATTCCCCTGAACTGCCTTTGGTCTCAATAACATTCAGTGATCGTGAACCAGCAAGAACATGACTGCCACCTCTGTTTATTACCACTTTCACAAGTTTTTCTTAAAGAATGCTTACCACATTTATGTTTGGGTGTGATATTGTGTCTACTGTGACAGGAGAGTAAGAACTCATTCTTTCAAAGTACATATAATTCAGGAGTGATGATGTTGCCAGTGTCTCCTCTTCTGCAAGAGAGAAATAACATGCTTGGCTCAGTTACAGACACATACCTGTAACATCTGTTGTGGCTGTGCAGATACCTTTTTCAACAAAGGTTATTGAAACCTGTCTCACTTCCTCAAAAGAAAGTCTATCAAAAGAACTGGAGGTTTATATAAAGCAGGGATGAGCAACCTGATGTCCTTCAGAAGTTTTATTAAGTTTCTTAGGATGTATCTACTACACTAGAATTAATTAGCCTGGTACCGCTTTAATTGCAATGATCCAATGTTGTGGAATCATGGGACTTGACGTTTTGGGAGGCACCAGCACTCTTTGACAGAGAAGCCTAATGGCCATGTAAAAATCCCAACTCCTTGTGATTCCACAGCACTGAACCATCGCTGAGGCGTCAAACTTCATTCGTTTTACAGTGCAAATGCATTCTTAATCTCTGACCATTGGCTGTAGTGCCTGGGATTTATAGGTATTATAATATCTGTTGCATCTGCAGATTGCCAACTCCTTTAAAGGGGAAAGTTGCATCTGTACCATAGGTGGGAATGTGAAAACACTCCATCACGATTTATTTCTCCAAATCCTATCGCAAATCCTATGATGTTCCATACAATGTTGCCAAATACTATATTTACTCAAGTCTAATGCACCATTGAATCTAATGCAACCCTCCATTTTCAAAAGCCTAAAACAAAAAAAATTACTCTTCCACACACACTCCAGGCAAGGGGAGGTTGCTTCCCCACATCAGGGGAGACTGATCAAGGGATCAGTTGGGACCTGCATAAGACTGGTGAGTTCATCAGTCTCGGCCTGTCAGAGGGGCTCTGGGGGTGGGTATGTGAAAGAAAGCAGGCCCAATAATGCTTCAGGGAGGCAGGCACTGAAAGAGTCAACAGGCAAGGGGAAACCATTCCTCCCCATCAGGCCAAGGTCACCAGTCTCATGTGGTTCCTAACTGGCCCTTCATCTGGTTTATGTATGCAATTCAAATACACCATTGAATCTAATAAACACCATAATTTTGGTGACATAATTTAACCAGAAAAGGTTAAATTATGTTAAATTAGAGTCAAGAAAATACTTCGAAATGTTAGCCATTTTTCTTGCATGGATACTGTTTTTATACCACTTTTCTAATGTGCCTATTTTATGTTTTCCCATTACTGACGAACATTTGTGCATACTTTCTGTTATACATCATGATTTGCTATTCAGAATTTTAAATAATACAACCCCCTGTACCTGCTGGGGCAGACACGAAACTGGAGATAATAGCAAACCTGTCTGGAATGAAGGACCTCCATCCCAAGAACACCATAGATCATGCCAGAGGACCTAGAAAATACCTAAATAGACCATATTTTGTTGGAAAGGAATAAATGAAACTGTATGTACAAGTCCTGAGGATACAAAACATACTTAAAGCCTTGCAGAAATGAGGATTTCTGAGACAATGTACTATGAAATGGGTAATTACATCAAGAATTTTGAATTAATTAAACTTATTTTCAATGTTCAAGATTGACACAACTAAAGATATACAGAGGCTGTTTCTGGAAATGTTAGTTTTAGCTGGAAAAAAGAAAGTATTTCTTTGTTCTTGTGTTCAGATTTGCATTTGTTTCTTTTGTTTTGGTTCCATCAGAATGATGTTTTTCAGATGTGGCTGAAATCATTTGAAGTCCGTATTCATCAATGATTACCTTTTTCTCTACATGTTTTTGACTGATATGGATGATACTGCTCACTTTTACTAGTGCTATATTTCCCCTTAAACCTTTTGTTTAAATTTGCACAGAAATTTCTTTAAAGAGTCAGTATATTTAATTTTATGTACAATCACCACTTAATGCAGTCGTTGTTGTTTGACTTTTTTTGGCAACATTTCCATCTGGTTTTACTGTTTGTATTTTATCATAAACACTTGTATGAATGTATGTGCACACAGACATGCATATGTCAACATTTCATGCATCTGATGAGATGAACGAGTCCACACTAGCTTGTACCAGGGCAAATTTAGTAGTTGTTAAGGTGACACAAAAATATTTATTTGTAATATTTGTATCCTTTTTTTATGAAATGTAAGATAGTTTATATTTTCCATCAATACTGACCTGTAAAAAACTTACATGTGAATATAAATTGTACATTAATTGTGAACGAACATATGGATAGTGGGTTTTTACTGGCTGCATCACAACACAGTTGGTAAAGATCTATCAACAATATTTATTGTTTTTCTTCATGTCTCTGACTGACATTTCATTCATGGTAGTTTTTAAAAAATACTAATTCAACTAATTAACAATTCATCTTACTTTTATTTACTTGTTTTCTCTCTTGTAATGAAAGGATGGAAATATACACATACAGTCAAAAGTCCATTTTTGCACCTCCATCTCTCTGGGAAGCCCACCAGGTGACCTTGAGAGTCACACAGTCTCAGCCTTAGAAAATCATACGATGGGTTTGCTTTAGGGTTGCCATAAGTCAGAAATGACATGAAGGCACACACCAATATAATATTAAGAATGGTAGTATTTAGTGGCCTAAATACTCTAATGGTATTAGATCTCATTTGATTTTGGTAGATAAGCAAGGTCAGCCCTAGTTAGTACTTGGGTGAATACAGGTGCTATAGGCTATATTTCAGGGGATATATTTTGACCTATATGTGTGCAAGTATTTGGCTTTTCTTGTTTTCATAAATCCTTTAATTAAACAAATGATGCGGGTAAGTACTTGCATATTTTCCCCCACCTCTTCTCTTCCTGCTAATCTTCCATCTACAATTTCCTAGAATGTAGATAGAGTTGATTTAACTAATAAAGACAGATATTTTTTTTTTACCAGAGATAAACTTCTCTATCTTTATTAATACAATCACTGTCTATAGAGCCATTTACATTGTGAAAAGAATCGTGTGGCATCTTGAAGACCAAATTTCACGATCAAGGTCCACTTCAACATATAACACTTGAAAACCTTAGTTGGGTTATGTTAGGACAGTGGTTCTCAACCTGAGGTCCCCAGATGTTTTTGACCTTCAACTCCCAGAAATCCTAACAGCTGGTAAACTGGCTGGGATTTCTGGGAGTTGTAGGCCAAAAACATCTGGGCACCCCAAGTTGAGAACCACTGTGTTAGGAGAAGAGAATCTTTGGGTTATGGGAACTGAATCTGTTCATAGAGAGATTTTGAAACAATCTAAATGCTTCATTGTAGGAACTCTGTATTCATTTAAAGAAATTTCTGACCAAGTACAAGCAGGGAGAACTGGGGAAAAGATCCCTTAGAGCTTTATTGCATGAAGCCACTCTCCCACAGACTTTGTGCAATCACTGCTGCTGACAACTTACAGTGACAATCACCTCTAGTATTGCAATGACAACATTTTGCTGCTCTGTGGTCCTGCCAGATTTTCTGTTGAGGAGGCAACTCTTCTCTCCTGCAGTTTTGGGGATGGGTGTGTGTGTGTGGTTATAAATAATTAATATAAATAATATAAATAATTTTTAAACTGTAATTATTATTAGAAGGAGATGGTGAAAGGACAGTCCCATTACATAAGATAACTACTGTGATAGCATGCCAACACAAGCAGTGACTTGGAGATCACTGCACAGATAAGTCCCAGGACTGTGATGTGATCACTAACTACTGACAAATGTTTGTCTGTCTGTAGTAGGGCATGGCTTACTAATATGAGGGCAATGGCAATTGAGATGGAGGCAGGGTTCTTCATTTGCTTCTAGGTCTAACTTGATGGATCTGTATCTTACTCTCTCCCTCCAAGGCCAGGACAGTGACCATAAGTCAAAGTCAACTTGATGGCAGGTAACAACAAGAAACAAACAGTTTAAGGCCAGTAATTAGTTTGCAAACCAACTTTATGTTAATGCACTTTCATGCTGACATAATCTTAAACATGGTGAAAAGTTCATGTGTACTAAGAGTGACCCGCAAAGAAGGAAGCAAAATGTGCTTGTGTTTGCCAGAAACAAAAAATGTTAAATTGGTGACATGACTTCAACTTGAAGTTCCCATTTCTCTTACAAATGACATTTATACTTCCTTATTTTTTCATGAGTCTGCATAACACTAGTTTATCACAAGAACATGCTGTGTCCTGCATGAGTGTGGGAACTGCAAACTCAAAATTGACAAAACACTTAATTTGGTGAAAGTGTCTGGTAAGTTACCATGGGCAATTGAGCTACTTCAGGAAAAAAAAACCCAATAAAATCTAGGCAGGTATTATTTTGAAGCTCTCTGTCTGTAAATGCATGTTCACATGTGCCTAATAATGTTAACACACCTTTTGTGGATCTTAATAAGTGTTCTGTCTTTTTACCAGAGACATAGGCAAATCTAAAAGCAGATGTAGTCAGCAGTGTACTCCTTAGTAGATAACTGTCTCAAACCCAGACCTGGATAAACCATTTGCTTGCATTCTTCCTAGCTTTCATTCAGTTACATGAACTTTCACCACATAGTCTGTGGCAAAATATCACAGACATCATCAGATGTAGTTATAATGGCAAAGCTCTGTTGTTGTACCTACTTCAGTCAACTACTGTCCTCTTAAGCCAGGCAGTTCTCTAGTTGAAAGATTTCTGAAGCATTGTAGTTTCTAGTATTGGAAAATGACTTAGTTCTGTGGAGCACACTGAAATGGGCATCTGGAGAGACCACTTGGGATTCCTGCCACAACCTCTTGTCTCAATCTGCCCTGCAAATGGGAGCATGTTACAGATGACATTCTCGGGAACATGGGAAACTTTTTGGTTGGAGCACTACCTGGATCATGTGGTTTTTGAGATCATCTATGGTCTTTTATGACAGTAAACATAAACTTCAAAGTTTTGAAATGGTATGTACAGCTTATGGTCTCAAAAATGATAAACAGGATACCAGCCCACTTCTGCAGGTCACTGTGGAATGGGAGCATTTGTTTTCTTTCACACATGTTTAGAGCAGACTTTTTTGGTGTAGGTTCGTGTCGGTTCAAATAGGTTCTGACTCCATGGGTGACCGGGGCTAGATTGGCTTATGCTGCCAATTGTAGCCCTGTATGATGAGGATGCAAGTCAGCCAATGAGATCAATGAGTCGCCTACGGGCTGAGAAACTGTGGTATACAAATAAAGTAAATAAATAAATAAATAAATCAAACACTGCAGTTTGAACTCATTCACTACTATTTCCATCTCCGTTCCAGGAAGGCAGCATTGCCCTGATGGGAGAAGCAATGCTGATCTGTGCCACGTGGCAGCCCCTCCTTGTCCTCCCTCCACCTGTCCCATAATGCCCTCATACAGGCAACTCATGTGGGTTAATTGCCAAGGCTTTAATTTTCTGTTGGTGTTGCCCTTAAATGGTGTTGCCCTCACTAACTTAAGTTCCCACTATTTCTAGGCTTATCAAACATTTCATAAAGCCTAAGATTGCTAAAAGGCTGTCAGTAGAAAGGAAACTGCAGTGGTTTTTCTGAGAAACACAACAGGAAGCTCTACTGATAAGTAGGATTCTTTTTTAGGTCCCTGTTTTTTGTACACTACACAACACCTCCACTTCTGCAGTCCATTCCTATATGCTATCCACTTCTGTCTTAAAGCGTCATGTTATAAAAGACCGCTCACTACTTGGAACAACACAGTTCCATGACTACTTGAAGGCACTCATATGACAGAAAAGTAACATTTGATTTGTACTTTCATTGTCCCCTCAAACTCTTGAGATCATCATAATCACTTTAAGAATGGTTAGGGAATGGTTAGGGATTTGTTATAATGTGAAGATGTAGAGCAGGATAGCATCTAAGGATAGGACCCACACTGGGGCCTCTGAATCCACTGGGGTATATATTTCTTGCACCAGGCATGTAGCCGGGGGGGGGGGGGGCTTGAGGGGCTTCAGCCCCCCCCCCAAAATTCTCATGGTGGTTCGCGAAAAGGCCTTACTGGTGCATTATTTAAACTGTTTAAATAATGCACCAGTAAGGCCTTTTTGCAAACCACCATGAGAACCACTGTTATGTTTATTCATATCATGATCTGATCACCATATTCAATATATCCCGTATGGTTGGGGGTATTGGGGTACTGATACAAAAGGTTTGCTAGGGTAGACCCTCTTTCACTCAGACTCAGCCCCCCTGAAACTCAGCCCCCCCCGAAACCCCCCCTGAAAAAAACTCTGCCCCCCCCCCCCCCCGAATCGAAATCCTGGTTACGGGCCTGTCTTGCACTGTGATCAAATATGCTGTTTTAGTTCAAAACTAAACATTTCCTTTAAGATAGAGGTGGAGAATACATGGCAACCAGGAAAGGGCATTTTTAGTGGCCCCTCAATTCCAGAGCTTAGAATTTTCATTACGACATCCTTTGTATTAAGCAAAACCATTTTGTTTGGGCAAATGTTTTTTTTTATACTGACAATAAGCCACAATAACATTCTATCAATCAAAACTTTATTACAACCCAAAGACCCAAATAGTAGTAAAAAGTGGACGAAGTGTGGACAGATTCATAAACTGATACAACTGATTAAAATGCAGGATGACGTGCTATATAAAGTGCATATGAATCAGAGTGAGAACACTGCAAATAAATCCAGGGCAAATTTTAGCCTAATACAGAAAGTTGTCTTATCCTGGCTATCTTGGAGAAAAACTTGCCAATGGTTAAAGTCACATGGGAGAGATTATCTCCTAATAAAATTTTACATAGAATTGGACTGATCATTCTAAATGATATAAGAATGTTTCAAACGTATGTCTGTCTCCACTACATGGAAAATATCTGAATAAAATGAGATCACTTTGAAAAAAATAACTAATGTGCTTCCATACTTTTAATTTATAGGGTGAAGGGCATGGGGCCATAAAGCATGTCAACAGAAATTGTACTGTTAGGGCATACTTTCCAAAAATAAAGGCCAACATTATACTTTAGGGCTCTGTAGTACAAATAATCTAATACAGAGTTTTATGACACAGCCCTGTGCTGAATGGCAATGCTATACAAGTGAATTGGGGTATCAACTGTGCAACTAAATGCACAACCAAATATGCATGTACCTAAGCACAATGTGTATCCTTATATGTGAAACTTCTCTTGCCCAACCTTAAACCGAAGGCTAATGTTTCTCATTAAAAAG